CCTGGGCACTGTCCCTGAGCTCTTCAGCTCAAGGAAAGCACTCTTACACCTGAGCCACAAGCGTTACTTCTGGTTTCCTGGTGGTTAACTGGAGGTAAAAGTCTCACAGATTTTCCTACCCGGGCTGACTTTGAACTGGAATCCTCAGATCTCAGCCTCCTGAGTAGCTAGAATTACAGGCGTGAGCCACCAGCACCCAGCAAGTTAAGGTTTTTTTCCTACACTTTGCCATGTTTATGGAGAAAATTCTAGTTCCTTTTTCATCATTGTAATGGGGCAATATAAGGTCATTATTGTATGCAAAAGGAAACATAGCACACTCATTTACACAGCAGTTTGAAAGCTTTACATTAATTCAAGGCTATTCTCAATAATCTGACTGTATTTTTTTTAATTTTTTTTCTTTTTGCTTATGTGGTGCTGAGGAATTGAACCCAGGGCCTCATGCATTCAAGGCAAGCACTCTACCACTGAGCCACCTTCCCAGCCCCAATCTGACTGTATTTTTAAAAATACACTAGATTCTGGCAATTGGGCAAACTCAGAATTCCATGAGGTTTAACAGCACATTATCACCCAGTGTACTATAAAACCACCACTAGAAACTTGAAAGCAGGAGGTACAGAATCCAGAATGGGCTCTATCAACTAGGTTGGCATAGAACCTTTCAACAAAATATTAAAAATATACTGTTAATACTATCTACAAAGTCTGGCTCAGATTTCTAGTACATTTTAATATTTTAAAAGAATTCCTTCCTAAAGGATCAATAGTTTTCTGTAACACAAGGAACTGTTTTTTTAACATTAAAGTTTTCTTTTAATTAACACTGTTTTCAGCATTTTACACGACACTTTATTCATGCAATACAACAAAACAATAGTGATATTGACTGAAAAGGTATTTAGATTTCAGAGCAGTTTGAATGAGACTAAAATTCTTATTAACTTTATGTTCCATACTTACCTACTATCTGTCCTCTAACTGTATCATTGTCATTTGGCCCCAGTTTGCATAAATCCAATCTCTGATCTATTTCAAATTAACAACAAAATTAACATTAGCTAGTATCAGAACTTCTACCATCTATAATGCCAGTAAAAATCCATAAACTATTAGAATTAGAAAGTAGATTTAATTATAACCACATCTTAAAACAATATTTTTTAATATTTTTGTTGTTGTTGTTGGTCATGGGGCTTGAACTCTGGGCCTGGGTGCTGTCCCCTGCGCTCTTCAGCTCAAGGTGAGCTCACAACCACTTGAGCCACAGTGCCACTTCCCATTTTCTGGTGGTTAACTGGAAATAAGAATCTCATGGACTTTCCTGCCCAGATCTCAGCCTCCTGAGTAGTTGGGATTATAGGTGTGAGCCACCAACACCTGGCATGCAACACTATTGTATTACATTGTCAATAAGATTAAAGCTGAAAGTTACATAAACTTGTAATTACCACAAAAAAGACCAAAAAAAAACCCTTTATATGCTATAAGAGTACCTGGCATATTAAGTGTTTAATACTGTCGTCATTATTTTCTATCTAACCATTTCAAAGGATGTACACACACAATAAGTCAATAAAAACCCAAGAAAAATTATGAGTTTGAGTTAGTTCCACCACTAATCATTTAGAGACAACTCATGTTTTTCTCAGATGTCTCATCTGCAGAAACATGGAATGCTAGTCTGCCTCTCAAGAGTTTGGCTCTCAAAATTAGGGGCTGGGAAGGTGGCTCAGTGGTAGAGAGCTTGCCTGGCATGCATGAGGCCCTGGATTCCATTCCTCAGTACCACACAAGCAGAAAAAGCCATTAGTGGTACTGTGGATCAAGTGGAGCACTAGCCTTGAGCTGAAGAGCTGAGGGACAGCGTCCAGGCCAAGAGTTCAGTCCCCACGACTGACAAAAAAAAAAAAAGAGAGAGAGAGACAGAAAGAAAAAGAAAAAAAAGTCTTATTTTTCTTTCATTTTTAGTTTTGTTACAGTAGTTTTATACATTATTCCATTATTTTAATGTGCGTATACAAACACATGCAAGTGCATATATGGAATACTTCATAAATTTGCATCCTCACGTAGGAGCCATATTGCTAATCCTCTCTATACTGTCAATATATGTGCTGCTAAAGCAAGCATCATACCATTTTTTTTTTTGGTGGGCAGGAGTGCAGGGGGTGGGATCGGTTTGCCAGGTTTGAACTCAGGGTGCTGTCCCTGAGCTTTTTACTCAAGGCTAGGGCTCTACCACTTTGAGCCATAGTGCTACTTCCAGTTTTCTGATGGTTAATTGGAGAGAAGAGTCTCGGAGTTTCAAACCACAATCCTCAGATCTCAGCCTTTTGAGCAGCTAGGATTACCGGTGTGAGCCAGTAATTATTTTTTTTAGGTTAAGTTTATAATTTTTTAATTTTTAGAAATTGTTATTATAAAGGTGTAGGGTAATTATTTGTTGATAAAGATGGCATAATGAGCCAGGTACGGGTGACTGTAATTCTAGCTACTCAGAAGATTGAGGATTGCAGTTCAAAACCAGCCTACGCAGAAAAGTCCAATAAACCACTCAGAAAAAGTGCTTAAGTGGTAGAACACTAGCCTTGAGTCAGAGAAGCTAAGAAGCAGTGCCCAAGTCATGAGTTCAAGTCCCAGGACCAGCAAAAAAAGTAATAAGTAATTCTCTTAAAATTACTTCCATCTCAAAAAAACAGAGAAAAGTGCTAAGAAATATTAAAAAGCATATGCAAACTGGGAGCTGGTGGCTCAGGCCTCTAATCCTAGCTATAGCTATTCAAGAAACTAAGATCTTAGGATTGCAGTTCAAAGCCAGCCCAGGCAGCAAGTCCATGAGACTCTTATCTCCAATTCCAATAAAAGCTGAAATAGAGCTGTGGCCTAGGTTGGAAAGAGCTAGGCTTAAGCAAAAGAAGCTTAAAGCTAGTACCCAGGCCCTGAGTCCAAGCCCCAGGAACCACACAAGTAAACAAAGAAACAAAAACGCATATGCATTTTGTTGTTGTTTCTAATAGTACTAAAATTTGAATTCAAGATGTCAGGGCTTGCTACTAAGTGCTTTACCACTTCAGCCATGTCTCCTGCCCTTAAAAGATATATAATTTAACATCTTTATCCTTGCGAATCAATCACTTGTTGACATTTGTCAATTCATGAAAACTCTGTGTCAGCTCTAGGTTCCACTTTTTTTTTTGGGGGGTCCAGTCGTGGAGCCTGAACTCTGGACCTGGGCACTGTCCCTCAGCTCTGCAGCTCAAGGCTAGCACTCTACCACTTGAGCCATAGCGCCACTTCTGGCTTTTTTTTTCTTTTAGCTTATGTGGTGCTGAGGAATCGAACCCAGGGCCTCATGCATGCAAGGCAAGCGCTCTACCACTGAGCCACCTTCCCAGCCCTAGGTTCCACATATTTTTTTTAGAAAATTTGTTGTTTTGTTTTTAAGTCCATAAATATAAGCCAGTTGTCAATATATTTCATAATCCTAGCTTCTCAGGAGGCTGAAACTGGAAGGATTGCAGTTTGAAGCCAGCATGGGCAGAAAAGCCCATGAGACTCCATCTCCCAATTAGCCATCAGGGTTGGGAATGTGGCTTAGTGGCAGAGTGCTTGCCTACCATGCATGAAGCTCTGGGTTCAATTCCTCAGTACCATAAACAGAAAAAGCCGGAAGTGGCTCTATGGCTGAAGTGCTAAAATGCAGCTCAGTGACAGTGCCCATTCCCTGAATTCAAGCCCCAGGACTGGCAAAAAAAAAAAAAAAATCTTATAGATCCCAATTAGCCAGCAAAAACTAGAGTAGAGATGTGCTACAGATGGCAGAGCACTAGCTGGGCAACCAAGCTGAGTAATGAGCACTGAGTTCAAATAGCAGTAACCCCTTCCCTCCAAAAAGGGGTCCAAAAAATAAATATAGCGCAGGAACGTTTACCAGTTTCAGACATATACAGGAAGTTTTGGTTTTTGGAGCGGTACAACAAAATTATTCGTGTGTGTGTGTGTGTACAACAAAATTATTCGTGTGTGTGTGTGTGTTTCAAAAAGCACTAGCATTTACTCACAACCAGTGTCTTTGAGTCGGTTGATGGCATTGGAAAGAAGACGAACACAGCCAAGAAATCCAGCACCTTGTTTTTTATGGATCTTCTTGTGATTCCATACACTGATTGTAACAGAATCAGACTTTCCAATATACCTAAAAAAACAAAATGGCTATATGAGTAACTTCGTAGTTAAAACTAGTATAAAGGTTTTCTTCATCCTTTTTAATCTTCAAAACTCACAAATATATTCAGAGTATGGATCAAATAATGTAAAATATTGTTTTAGTTCAATCAATTCATATTAATAACCTTAAATGTTTTAAAACCTTAAATAACTAAAATTAATTTTAATATATTATCCTATCTGCCACTCTCAGGCTGGACAACAATTCTTGTTAGTAAAACAGGCTATTTTAGAAGCTAAAACACTAAGGGAGTTTATAATAATTCTTTTCAAGAATAAAAATCTTAAAAGAACTTTTATCACAGTCACAGTTTAAATACATTTCAATGATAACGACCAACTACCTCAGAGAAGACTTAGTTGAGTTAGGGGAATTGTCAAGGCTGACAGACCAAAAATCTGACCTACCTGTTATACTTTTTTAATGCTGCAGAACAAAATGCTGTTTGTAACGCTTTTCCCTTGCTTCTTTCCTATATGCAGGCCTTGAGCGAGCAGGACTCTTGCAGATTTCACTTCACTGCCTGCAGACAAGCAGAGCAGGGAAAAGCGTTACTGTACTTGTCTGTGCATATGTCTACAAGTATGTAAAAGTTTCACCACAGCCAATTGTTAACATGGCATCAACCCATGCAAAATCATATTTAATAAACATAATTATATCTGTAGAACCTAACTCTATTTCAGTGACTCTAAGAGGTCAAGTTTTTGGTCCAGCAACCTTGATCTTAAACTATTATTCAACAAAACAAAGCTATTGAAAAAAAAATCAAATAGTACATTAAAAAAGCCTAAGCCAGTGAAGTGAGGACGCAGGTTTTTAAATAAGAAACTTGTGGAAGGCTCATTTGAGCTCCTGCACCCAGCTGTGACTAAAGAATGCTCATCCTTGAGCTTTTACAGAAGTCAATACTTTCCCCTTTCCATTTCAAATTTGGTATGTCACTTACAAACAAAAATATACTGGCTGAAATACTCAACATACAAGAAGCAATTTTTAAATAAACCTACCATAGCTATCTTTTTTTCTTTCTGTCAGTAGCGTGGCTTGAACTCAGGGCCTGAGCGCTGTCCCTGAGCCTTTTTGCTGAAAGCTTGTGCTCTACCGCTTTGAGCCAAAGTGCCACTTCTGGTTTTCTGGTGGTTAATTAGAGATAAGAATCTCACAGACTTTCCTGTCCAGGTTGGCTTTGAACCGCAATCCTCAGATCTCAGCCTCCTGAATAGCTAGGATTACAGGCATGAGCCAACAGTGTCTGGCTAGTATGTTACTACTATATAAAATATCAAAATCCCAGAATTGGAATAAAAAAATTAAACAGGTAAAACACCCCAAACTGAACATTAAAAAAGAAAAAAAATTGGGCTGGGAAGGTAGCTCAGTGGTAGAGTGCTTGCCTTGCATGCATGAGGCCCTGGGTTCAATTCCTCAGCACCACATAAGCAGAAAAAGCTGGAAGTGGTACTGTGGCTCAAGTGGTAGAGTGCCAGCCTTGAGCTGAAGAGCTGAGGGACAGTGCCCAGACCCAGAGTTCAGGCCCATGACTGACAACAAAAAAAAGAAAGAAAAAAAAAAATACAGTAGGGCTGGGAAGTTGGCTCAGTGGTAGAGCGCTTGCCTTGCATGCATGAGGCCCTGGGTTCAATTCCCCAGCACCACATAAGCAAAAAGAAAAAAGCTGGAAGTGGCGCTGTGGCTCAAGTGGTAGAGCGCTAGCCTTGAGCTGAAGAGCTGAGGGACAGTGCCCAGGCCCAGAGTTCAGGCCCACGACCGGACCCAAAAAAAAAAAAAGAAAGAAAAAAATACAGTAAATCAATTTCCCAAAAAGTAGACCTGGTTTGTAGATATGCTAAAATATTGATTCTCAAAGCCTTAGGGCAGCCTTACCACTAGCTTAAGGAATTCCATCTGTTTAGTGTACTGTATCATATATACACACATATTTTTATTTATTAATTTTATTTTTTCCAGTTCTGGGGCTTGAACTCAGGGCCTGGGCACTGCCCCTGAGCTTCTTTTGCTCAAGGCTACTAGCACTCTACCACTAGAGCCACAGCACCACTTCCAGCTTTTTCTGTTACATGGTACTGAGTAAACGAACCCAGGGCTTCATGCATACTATGCAAGCACTTTTACCACTATGCCACATTCTCAGCCTCATATACATACTCTTTTAAAAAAAAAATGAAAAAAAGAAATGTGTGTGTGTGTGTGTGTGTGTGTGTGTGCATGCACGTGTGCCAGTCCTGGGTCTTTTTTTTTGTTGGTGGTGTTATTTTTTTTTTGTCGGTCATGGGGCCTGAAATCTGAACCTGGGCACTGTCCCTCAGCTCTTCAGTTCAAGGCTAGAGCTCTACCACTTGAGCCACAGCACCACTTCCGTTTTTTTTCTGCTTATGTGGTGCTAAGGAATCGAACCCAGGGCCTCATGCATGCAAGGCAAGCACTCTACCACTGAACTACCTTCCCAGCCTCATATACATACTCTTTTTTTTAAGTCCAAGATGAGGACTCAAACTCAGTACCTGATGTTTTTTACTCACTGACTAGCACTCTACCAACTGAGCCAAGCCTGCAACCTCCATATTCTTTACACATAGCATGATATGAAAAAGAAAGTGCCACATTAATTGGTATTTTCCAAGTATGAACCTTCTAGAATATGAAGGTTCAGATAGTTTGAATCACTTTAAAAAAAAAAAAAAAAGCTTCTTTTTTTTGGCCAGTCCCAAGGCTTGAACTCAGGGCCTAGGTGCTGTCCCCTGAGCTTCTTTCTGCTCAAGGCTAGCACGCTACCACTTGAGCCACAGCACCAATTCCAGCTTTTTATAGTATTTTGTTACTTAAATATACATGTCACAAATATTCTGTCAAAATATTTCTAGGCTATAAATTAATCCGAAAATTACATTTAAAGAAGTATCTGCTCCTGAAATCCATAATAGCTACATAAAACAGTAAGTCTTTCTCTTTTTTTGAGATGAGGGGGTCTTACAATGTTGTCCAGACTGGCCTCAAACTTGTGTTCCTCCTGCCTCAACCTCCTGAGTATCTAATATTACCGGCAGCACCAATCATGCCCAAATCAACTATTAGGCTCTATTTGGACCAATTAAAACCTCAACATCATGAACAAATAAATCTCCTTAATAACTAAGCTTCGGGATATTCTATGCTGAGAGATTCTCCACAATAGAATACAATATCAACATATAGACCAAAATAAGATATATATGTTCAAGATATTTTTGACTAATATATAATTAGTAAACAGCCAATTTGAGGTAAAAATTTTACAAAATAATCCAATATACTTCCCTCATCTTTTCCCCCTGAAGTACTATCCCTTGGAAAATAAGTAAGAGAAAAATCCATATGTAGCCAATTACTATTGGCTTTAAAATAAAACTTAATAAACACAAAAAGATGGTCAACACCATTAGTCTTTAGGAAAATGAAAATCAAAACCACAATGAGTTACAAAATCATACCTACTAGCATGCCTATAACTTAAAAAAAAAAAGAAAAGTAACAGACACTACCAATAGAGGAATAAAGTAATTTTTGTATACCATGTGACCCAACTCTGAATATTTATACAATCATAGTCACATAAGCATGGAACAAATGACTTAAAGAAAATGGTTCACAAAGCTATACTGAAAGGCTGGCACAAAGGAAGAGGTATGTAGTGCTAATGGAGTAGTATTCCAAGTTTGAAAAGCTGAATTATCTTCTAAGGTAGGAAATTTTTAAATATTTAAAATTTTAAAAATCCCAATCAGGGAAGCTTTTATTCTGCCAGGTATGGTAGATTATACCTATAATCCTATGTACTCAGGAGGCTGAGATCTGAGAACTGAGGTTCAAAACTAGCACAAAACAAAAAAAACCTGAGATGTTATTAAAATAAATAAGACATCCAAAAACAGAAGAAAATACCAGAATGAACAGTTAAATTTATTAAAGCAGTCAGCTTGAGAATGGTAATCAGGAATAAGAATAGGGCAGGGAAAAGCTGAGTACTGGTGGCTCACACCTGTAATTCTAGCTACTCAGGAGGCTGACATCTGAGGATTGGGTTCAAAGCCAGCCTGGGCAGGAAAGTCTATGAGACTCTTCTCTCAAAGTAACCACCAGAAAACCGAAAAGTAGAGCTGTGGCTTCAAGCGGCTTTTTTTTTCTTTTAAAAACCTTAAAGTATATGATATGGCTTTTTTTTTAAGAGTATCTACTATGATTAAAATAGAGAAGATCTAAAGAAAGATGTCTCTATAGGAGCAATTCTAATTGCTATTTTTATAACTGTAATTGACCTAAAGTGAATTAATGTCTATTTCATTGAGTATGCTCTATATTGTGAGCCAATTTCATTCTATTTATATTGGCTTCTTAGGGTTACCTCATCTTTTAAAGCCAGGTATTAAGAAGCCAAAGTACCTTTTCTTTTTTCTTTTTTTGGTCAGTCGTGGGGCTTGAACTCTGGGCCTGGGCGCTGTCCCTCAGCTCTTCAGCTCAAGGCTAGCGCTCTACCACTTAGCCACAGCACCACTTCTCCAAAGTACCTTTTCTTTTTTTTTTTTTGGGGGGGGGTCCAGTCGTGGGTCCTGAACTCTGGGCCTGGGCGCTGTCCCTCAGCTCTTCAGCTCAAGGCTAGCGCTCTACCACTTGAGCCACAGCGCCACTTCCGGCTTCTTTTTGCTTATGTGGTGCTGAGGAATCGAACCCAGGGCCTTGAGCATGCAAGGCAAGCGCTCTACCACTGAGCCACCTTCCCAGCCCTAAAGTACCTTTTCATTGGGTTTTAAACCCCTTCTGTACAGGTAAAATTATACCATAGATTAAGCACAGATTATTTTTCATGATTCTTTTCAGATACTATAGTGAACATTATTTTCATATTTCACTTCAAACTAATCATTTATACCTACAGGTCATAATGTTGATTCCACTTTGGATCAAGAGTATTCTTCACAGTATCTGTAGAATGGCATTGCCCAGATCCATCGACCACCACCTTTGCAAATGGATCAGGAAGTCCTATGAAAAAAATGGGTATTTTTAAAGAATATCTTGACATTTAAGAGAAAAGAGTATCATTTGCTACAAGATATTACTCCATTTAAAATCTTTTTTTAAAAGTTTAGGGCTGGGAACGTGGCTTAGTGGTAGAGTACTTGCCCAGCATGCATGAAGCCCTGGGCTTGATTTCTCAATATCATATAAACTGAAAAGCCAGATAGTGCAGTGGCTCAGTGGTAGAGCGCTTGCCTTGCATGCCTGAGGCCCTGGGTTCGATTCCTCAGCACCACATAAGCAAAAGGAAAAAAAGCTGGAAATGGTGCTGTGGCTCAAGTGGTAGAGCGCTAGCCTTGAGCTGAAGAACTGAGGGACAGCGCCCAGGCCCAGAGTTCAGGCCCCACAACCGGACCAAAAAAAAAAAAAAAAGCTCAGGAACAGTACCCAGGCCCAGAGTTCAAAATCCAGGACAGGCAAAAAAAAATCAAAATAAAAAAAAAGGGCTGGGAAGGTGGCTCAGTGGTAGAGTGCTTGCCTTGCACACATGAAGCCCTGGGTTTGATTCCTCAGTACCACATAAACAGAAAAACTGTAGGGCTGGGAAGGTGACTCAGTGGTAGAGTGCTTGCCTTGCATGCATGAGGCCCTGGGTTCGATTCCTCAGCACCACATAAGCAGAAAAAGCCAGAAGCGGCACT